CCCCCCCCCCCCCCCCTTTTATCTTTTTATTTTCATCACATTGCAGTGCTGTCAGTGACGCATTCAAACGCTACGGGGGACAAACAAAACCAAAAAAAGAAAACTAAACTCGCGCGACTACTTCCTACCTCCTACCTCCTACCTACTGCTACTTATACGGTATGTAATGATATCTAACAGGTGCCTTACCTACCTACCTACCTACCAACCAACCAACCTCTCCGACTTTTACCAACTGTGGTAGGTAGGTAAAGTCAAGCTCGCTCGCTCGCTCGCTAGCTACGGTGTCTACTTGTGATACTTACGGTATTTCCCTGCCTGCCTAGGTACCTAGGGAGGGTATCAATCATAATACAATACAATACAATACAATACAATACAATATAGTATAGTATAGTATAGTATAATATAATACACCCAAGAAAAAAGAAGAAGGAGGGAAGTGATGCGCATACATATATATACATAGATATATATACATATCCATCCATGCCAAAATCCCCAACTACCTAAACTAGTGCTTGCTACAAACCTATCAAGAAAATACCAACAACAACTACAACAACAACAACAACAACAGAGCTTCTAACTAACTCGCTACTTAATCAAGTTTTGATCGACGTTCAGTGATCTCGTTCAGGACCGGGGAGGTTTACCGGTACCTAGGAGGGCGTTTCGTAGTGGTGGTGGTGGTGTTAGTAGTAGTGGTGGTAGGACCGGTAATCATCGCGATTCCCTACCGACCTACCTACCGACCTACCTACCTACTGTACCGAGGATTGCTTACAAGGATACCTACCTCATGAAGGAGGTGGAGCGCGCGAAAGCGTCCCGTCCGCGTCCGGCCGTCACTTGCTCACCGGTATATACTTATCAAACCATTTGTACTTGTACTAATTAACACAGCAAGCGAGCGAGCGAGCGAGCTTGATTAGGGTATCGACTTCGAGATTAGGTAGACAGACAAGCCTTTTCAAGGCCCGGGAGAGTCGGCGGGGTCCGGACCTCGACCGCGCCGCGCTGTGCACTGCACTGTGTCGGTGTCGGTGGCTGCGGAATATGGGAAGGGCGAGTCGAATTGACCTACCGCAGGAATTGGTAGCGCCTGCTTGCTGTTGCTACATGCCGAGCTGGGGCTTTGATTTGCGTCAAGATAGGTAGGCCAGACGAAGGCGTTAGCGGACGGCCCGGGTAATTGATTCGATGAGCGTGTGTTGCTGCTGAGGCCGGAATGCTGGGAGGGAGATTTGGATTTGGAGCATAGCGCAGGTTCGTTCCCTTTTTCGCCTTTCCTTCGAGTTTCGGTTACGGAATCCACTATTTTTTGATTTCAGATTGGGTGCTTTGTGAAGCGATTCGGTATGTTGTATCTGAGTATGTAGCCCATCGATGTGATGGTCCGTTTCCTAATTTGTAATACCATTAACGTGTTGTCCAGTTTCCCAAAGGACTCTCTTGCCGACTTACATTTGGCTTTTTGGTCCTCTATTCCAAGCCCCCCCCCCAAACCCGGATCCCCATGTCATGCCCAACCCCAACCAATCATCCTGCCAACGCCTTTCCCACCAACTCCTTACTCGACTCCGACATTGGTAGCTGCAACGCCAGCTCGCGCCCCCTCTCACTCATCTTCCGCCACGTCTTCCTCAAGATCTCAATAATCTTCTCCTCATCGTGTCCCTTCTCAAAGGCCTCGAACTGGTCATCGAGGAACACCAGACACGCCACATCCTCGAGGATCTGCGTCTCCTCATTCTTCTTGAGGTCCTCCTTCCGGATCAACCTCGCCACCCCCGCCGCGTCCTCCTCGCTGAAGTTGCACCCCAGACAGACCGCAGCCGCGAGGTCCGCTTGGCGTTTCTTCAGGAAGGAGCGCCAGTTCAGGTATCCGGCCTTCGTCTGTATGAAAGCCGGGTCATCAGTCTTTTGCCCAACACACGGAAGATATTTTAAATAGGATGGGAGGGTCGAAACATGATGGTTGGATTTGAGGGAAGGGGTCAACGGCGTTTGCGTACCATGGGGTAGGAACCGCGGGGAACCTCCCACCTGCGAAAGTGCTGGGCACGGATAGCGACTTTGAGGATCGGGGAGGCGTCGGGGGCGCGCAGGCTGAGGTAGTGCGACATCTGCTGGGCGTAGTGCAGTTCGTAGGGGACGTCTTGGCCGTCTACTATCGTGACATTGGGATCCTGGGCGTGAGCTTCGTCGATGAGAGCGATGGCCGCTTCGTAGTTGGCGGCCGCCATTGCGAAGCTGTTTAGGAAGCTGGAGATGGGAAATCTAGAGAGGTCTTGTTATGGGGGAATACGCCAGATTCGAGCTCGCTTATCTGATATTCGCTTGAGCCTTGTGGTCGACTCTGGACATCTTCTGGAGATGCCGAGTTAAGAGGTTGAAGTGGAGCCATATGTATCTAGCGAGGACATACAAGCTTCACGTGACCATTCTAATAATCGCATATCGTTAATAAACGGGCTCTTTCAAGATGAGAGTCATTGAAAGAAATTGGGTTTTTAATTTTTTATTATTA